ATTTTGAAAAAAATGCCGGTTTTTTTAAAAAAAGAGCTAAAGAAAGTTTTTAAGACTTAAAAAAAAGAGAAGGGAGATGATTTTCAGTCCGATCCTCAAATCCTTTTATACAAATGGAACGGAATTACTGATCTATATGAGGCTGTTTCTCAGCTGACGGATCTAAATCAAAGGTTCAACCCTGAGAGATTGAAAAATGTGCCAGTAAGTCAGCCCAACGAGAATTATCGTTATTATTATCACCATATTAAATACGGTAGTACTAACGACAGCTTTCACGAAGGCTTTCTATCCGTCCGAACACAGCTTCTACTCTTTCAAGCTAACGGAACGATCCAATGTGCATCCGAACTACTGAAGACTAGCTCAACAAGTTAATAACGAAAAATTACTCTTTTCGACAAATCTCTTAAAAATAAGAATCGATAGAGATGCGAAGCAAGCTGATGTACATGTTCTTCGAAAGCCTTTTAGCAGTGCAGATGAAAAAGGGTTACGGAAAAGTGAGTGAACCGAGTCCGATAAGTCCAATTTTTTCCCACAGTTTGCACTGTGTTCATTGTAGAAAGCCCAAAATCATTGTAGAATTGCTGAATGAGCTTGGTAGCAATGCGATGGAAACTGAATACCACGGAGGAGGAATCAAGCGAAACAACACGTGTTTGCCCGAATTGAGAAGCCCGTTTAGCTCTTAAACAGCTAATAACTACTGCGGAGAAGCAGTGCGGATGAATATAGAATACCAAGTGATGAGATGCCCCACTAGCACAACAGTTACTATAAAAAGAGATTTTTTTTCAATCCCACAGTACCAGCTGTTTTATGGAAGCGAAACATGGAATACCATATTTTTGAGGGAAAAAAGTTAGCCAACGCGAAGTAGCTGCAGCAGATCTTCAAAGAAGCACTTCGATTTCAGCTTGGGATGAATGAAAGCAACGTGCGCCACGAAGAAGAGTTAGGCTGGTCATGTGACAAAAATCTGAGCGAAAATAGGTCGGCAAAAGCGATCACTGAATGGGGTTTATCAATGTAGTACTGGAAGAACACAGAGAAGGCAGCCAAGGTGTAATGGAAGAATCCGCTTGAACGGCTACATGGAATTATGTGAGAATGAGAGAAGCGCAAAACGGAGAAGAATGGAGATTTTAAGCTGCGTCGATGACGAGGAGAAACGCAACGATATCAACTGATCAAAGTATCCAAGAATTATCACCGTCATATATCATCGTCATTCATTATCATCGGGAATTATTATCGTCATTCATTCTTAAC